ACCTACTACTCTCTCTCTCTCTCTCTCTCTCTCTCTCTCTCTCTCTCTCTCAAATTTTGGAAGCATCAGCAGTGACCTTGGCCAAGGCAACAGCAGCCTTGGAACCGGAGTGGCGCCCTAAGTGGTTGCAAATATATTCACCAGCTGAGATGAGTTTGCCCAAATCCACATTGGTTTTTACCCCAAGTCCATGTAGCAAATACACAACATCTTCAGTGGCCACATTACCTGAGGCACCCTTTGCATAAGGACAACCACCAAGTCCAGAGATAGAAGAATCCACAACACTTATTCCCATCTGTTCATACACAACCCCACCATCACCAAAGAAGAAACAAATCAATGCTAAATCCACCAAAGATGTAAAATAATAGTGATGCTATATGGTATTCTAAGCAACATTTGGGAAGGTATTTGGTAGAGATAGAGCTAGTCTTCACACTGATTGTGTGTGTGTGTGTGAGAGAGAGAGAGAGAGGCAACAATTGGGAAGGTATTTGCAGAGAGAGCTAGCTAGTCTTCACACGGATTGTGTGTGTGTGTGAGAGAGAGAGAGGTCATGCAGCTATTAGAAAGAAGCCAAGGACATGTATTGCCTCCATTATGGATACACTAGTGCTGTGCATACACAAAAATGCAAAACATGGTAATAATCACCAACCTAGCCATTGGGTGTGTGTGTGTTTGGGGGAGGGGGGAGGGGGGAGGAAGAGAGAGAGAGAGAAAGAGAGAGAGAGAGAGAGAAAGAGAGAGAGAGTTCTAGGAGATCAGAGCTCTGAAATCACTTAGTTGCATCTTAGATCGAAGAGCTACAATGTAGAAAACCTAAGAGCCCCAATCTCTTAATCCAAGAATCTCAAAGCAGCATATGCAAGGTTCGTTTCAGGGAAATTGGATAATCACTTTAATGAACTATTCATTTGTTTATCTAGCATATCACTATAATGAAAGATTTTATTTAACCAAACAAGGCAGTAAAGATCACCTGAAGAGAGACCAAGATATTCGCCAAAGACTGTCCATAAGTATCATGGAAATGCACAGCGAGCTTCTCCACAGGGACAACCGCCATCACAGCTTCAAGCATCGGTATAATGGACCCTAAGATGCCAGCAAAACAAATACCAGATTAAAATTCAAAAGATAGAATCTAGGTTATTTTCTGAAGAATTACTTATGCAACTTGGTTGACTTCAAATTTTAAAATAACTAAGCAATTTCTATTTCAATGTCTATAAAGGTCCTCGAATGATCCTATGCAACGATGATCGAGAGAGAATATGACAGAATCATGAGACAACTGATCCAAATTTAACCATCAAAATGTTATCTGGACTATATCAGTTTCCCACGAAAAAGGAGCCTCACAGACCTTGGGACAATAAGAGGTGAAAGAATAGTAGTGTCTCTGAGCGAGCGAGCGAGCGCATGTGCATGCGTGCGTGTGTTTGTGTATGAGAGAGAGAGAGAGAGAGAGAGAGAGAGAGAGAGCAAAATGACAAGATACTTATATTGTATTATAGGAAACAGTTAGAACTAGCATTATTCAGGCATATCAACATATAAATATCTTACCAGGGGTGCCAACTCCAATGGTGTCACCAAGAGAGATCTCAAAACAACCCATATCATAAAGCTCCTTCGCCACGTAAGCTACTTTGGATGGAGGTACGTATCCTTCAACAGGACATCCCGCAACACACGATACATACCTGAAAAAGAGTAACACCAATAACCTTTCATACATGAAAGTGCAATTGTTCTCTCCTTGCACAAAATTCACAAAAAACTTTTAGAGAGAGAGAGAGATCTAGATATACCCTCGAACAGGGATTGAGAGCTTCTTGGCAGCATCAGTGACATCACAGAACCGTGAGAGACTATCTTCAATACTGCAATTGATATTAGACTTGGAAAATGCTTCAGATGCTGAAGCAAATATTGCAACTTCCTTTGCGCCTGCAGCAATTGCAGCTTCAAAACCCTGAACGATGTGACATTTTCAACCAATACAGTTACAAGAATTTAGCATGTGACAGATGGCTTTTCCCTTTGCCAAAGTACAATATCATCTTATCGACTATGGAAATCCAAAGATATGGCGTCGTGTGTGTGTGTGTGTGTGTGTGTGTGTGTGTGTGAGAGAGAGAGAGAGAGAGAGTTAGACCAACTAGCTCTAGTGGGTCTCTCACTTTACATCACAGCCATCTATTCATTGGACAATGATGGACTGATAGATTATGCTTGCCATATCCACTGGATTAGAGTACATATTTTCCTCTTCAATATTTTAAAAGACAGATACATACAGACAAAAGAAAGGAAGAGATAAATACAAATACCTACTTTGAGGTTTGGCGTTAACACAGGAAGCCTCACGCCCCGTATATCACTTATAGCATCGATTACGTCCTTTGCATCAGCCAGCTTTAATGCATTTTGCAGGAATACATCAATATCGAAGGAAGAAATTCAGCAGTGCTAAAATTGTGCCATCCATAACATAATGTGCTTATTAACGCTAATTAGGCAAGATTTAGTTCAATAAAACAAAAGAATATAAGCAAAGAAACATAATCTAACGAGTGATGATAGATTTCAAAGCACTCCAGTCAAGAGTCAAACATGGCTAATAGAAACAAATGAATTGAAAAAGATATTAAGCTATGGAGCAGTTGAGCGATGTCATTTGTTTTATATTCCTCTCAAAGGAAAAAGGATTGTGGTTTGGCAATTCTGGGAAAAGTCTTTTGTATAATTCAAAACAGGAAAACTAAAATATAGGAAAAGAAAATAAGAAGTCTAAATGCATAAATAGAACTTCTAGCTTTTATTTACCCTCCTCCCCCCGAAAAGAAAAAATAAAAGCTTCTAGTTCATGGAGAAATCACAAACCATTGACCAAAAAGAGAATATTTGACGTGCTCTAAAATAAATGATGTTACATGTTTCAGCCCGCTACCAGATTGACAGCGTTTGCATTACTTAGGAAGACCAAATTGCAGGTTGCCCACAAAGTTTGTGGGGTTATGAAGGAATAGCCACCTATAAAATTTCCCGACAATGTCAAATTTGGACATCTTCCCTTACTATAGATTAATATTTTATACTTACAACAGTTCAAACTCAGAATTACAGTAATGAAAAAAAAATTTGTTGTAATGGAAAAATTAGTGTGGACTTTGAGATCACTCAATGTAGCTGGCATGGTCAATATTACAAGCTTGTCACAAGAAGAATATTTTAGAAATTAGAAGTATTTACTGTTATCAGTCGTATGTCAACCATTTACAGCAACAAGATTGAACATAGTTCATGGGTACTTTCCGACTCTCCTTTTGTGGAATGGGCATTTAATTTGGAGCACTACTTTTATACCCAAACTGCACACTTAATTATCTGAATCCCATATAAATAACTCTTTCTCCCCAAGGCTGGTCACTATTAGGAACAACCCACACATATCTCCACATAAGGGATCTCAATTTTTTAATCTGTTTGTGATGCGGAGCGGTGGAAACTGTGGAGCATCTACTCAAGCACTACAACTTCAATAGAGCAATTACTGATCATTTTCTTGTATATATTTGAGATCCATCAGGCTTTACCAGATTCCCTGGGAGAATTATTTGGGCCTTGGACAAATATTTCTTTCTTGAAGTGAAGACACATTGCATTGAGGCACTGTTCAATGGTCAATATTTGATACGGAGTAAAGGATAGAATAATAACAATTTTAGAGCAAGATTGGGGAAAATGGTGACCACCAATGCATCAAGTACAATGACATTGTCCCCGTGAAAAAGAAGTTTAGAGGACTCTGGTTTTGGTCAGAATAAAGCTTATTGGGAGAGAACGTTCCAAACGCCCCAATCAGTCAGGTTGCAGAAATTTTCAATTGCATCAGCAGTTCTACCCAATAACAGGGACCTGTAGAGGGTGATGCGCCGTTAGGGATAAGCTAGATGGACCTAACAAACCTTTTAAGGGGCATTTTGGATCTGACATTTCCATGGGGCCAAAGGCTGGAGCACCTCTTAGCAAAGTTCCAAAACCTGGTTTAGGCTCGAGCCATAAATCTTTCTAGAACGTTATAAAAGGGGTAACGCTTGGCCATGTCTCAAAATTCAGATGGTGCAAAACCTGAGTCAACTCTGATGAGTCCCAAATTAGTTTTTAAAAAGAAATAGTGAGAGTTGGTTTTCCTATAATGTTTATGAGCAGTGTTACGAATCTCATAAGCCTCTTCAGGGGTCCTCTAATGACCGAGCAGGTCCTTACCAAGACTAGGATTGCAGATGCTCTCTAAAAGATACTTGACAGAACTCATTTCAGTATGTATGTTGTAAGGTTAACCAATAGTTGACTATGATAGCTTATAATGCATCCTGAGGATGAACATGAGAGCACGGGATTTTCTTTCCATTGTCATTTTACATCTAAAGCCATTCAATACTTTCTCAAACGAAAATTAATCATTTAGTGATAAGTTTATTCAACCATTCTAGACTCTTTTCAATGACTATATACAAACAAAAGATCCATCATCCAAAAAACGAAGCAATGTCCCTTCCTATAGAGTCCAAAACTCCAAGATCAATGGAATTAGAGAAATACTGCATAGCCTATTCTATGTAAGGCAGCACATCGGATCAATCATTATTTCAATAATCCACCAAATACTGCTGGTAGCCAAATCAATTTGCATATCAGCATTGCCACCCATATTCTGGTTAGCAGAATCCAAAGCAATGGGTTGATAACTGCAAAAATGAGTGGCAAAAAACAAGGCTCCTCATGTAATTCAGAAAAATAGAGTCAAGCATTTTTTAAAGAGTTCTTCATGATTCTCCCATTATTCCTTTCAGTGCAATGAAATGAAACCACTCAACAAAGTGATCCAGTGTCATATGCCCTTTTTTATGCATTACTAAAAGAACTTACACAATGAATTACCAAACTGGGAGTCATAAGATGGGCCCTTAAAAAGTCTTCTATTCCATGCAGGGTGGCTATAATTTATAGTAAGAACTTCGACATTTATGACACTAAAAACGTAATTTGGTGCATATTCTAAAAGGACCCAACCAAAAGGCTGACACCCTTGTTAACAAAGGAGTTCTTTGAAAGTCTCTCTTTGCTGACATGATTTCAGTGTTAGAATCCTGAGATGATGGCTTGACATCTCATGACCTTCGTTCTGTTTTCTAGAGTTTCTTTGTAATTTTATTTTGATATTAAATTTTGATGATAATACATACATATCAAACTGAGTATAGTTTCAAAACAGTAGGGGGAAAATAGGGAAGCAAATCAAGCATGAAATAATACAAGTTAGGCTACCTGTGGTACCCATTTTGGAGAGACAAAGCTCGTCGCTTCAACCACTTGCAAACCAGAAGCTGCCAATCTTTGAATCATTTCAACCTTAACAGCTGTAGGTACAATAGCCTTCTCATTTTGCAATCCATCCCTAGGCCCAACTTCCACAATTTTCACATATTTTGGTATGCCCCGTAAAAACTGCAGTAAAAGACGCAAAATGTGACTAAAGTGATGGAAATATTTCGTGTTAGAAAATTAGAGCCAAAAAATCATGATTATGAGATGGGAACATGTAGACAAGAAAAAATTACTAAAAAAAATGGCATTTCAATTGTTACAAACGTATAAGCATAACTATTGCAATGGCATTTCAATGGTTAGGTGGAGAGGATACAGACCAAATACCAATTAACAAAAGAAAAACCATTAATCCTTAGGAAACATTCCGTTCCAATAATATTTTAGAATCATTACAAGCTTCTATAGACATTTCAGAGTTTCTCTCATTTCACAGAACAATCTACACAGTAAGAATCGGTACGGAAATGAAAAGTTCATCCACTCTCCATGAAAGCGTCCAACACGTCAAAAAAAGTATCCCCAACATTAATACGTTCCCATTCTCAGTTTCTTTGATGCCAGATTTTCCTCTTTGGTCTCTTTTCTTGCCTTTAATAACATACCCTTCACATGCCTCAGGTAATTTTCCTCAAATTCATTTTCTTGACTTCTTTGCATTAAACTTATGGGATTACATACTATAAGACCATTTACTTTTGGTACAAAGAGGTCACAATTACCCTTAGCCATAAGATGTGAAATCCAACAACTTAAAGTGTGTCACATAATTTAAGAAATTTTATTTCGGACTTTGTTCCCAATTGATGACACACTTCCAGCCACCCAATTTCACATCTATTCCTACTTTTTTAGCTAGAATCAGTATAGTAACTTCACCCTTCTAAGAGTTATATTGAACTGCTGCTGCTCAATCTCTCTCACTTGGAATCCAGATCCGTATTGAGGAGTTCAACCAAACCATTATTTATTATTGAGTTAACACGCTTCTATTTTCTATAATCACCCTCTTAATGTTCTACCATGTTTAAGGAAAGAAGCCAGGTCAATAGAGTTTGAGGCAGTCCAGGTAATATTTCTAATCTTTTAATCAGATTGAAACGAAAAAGCATATCATATTCCAAGAGAGCCCAAAACTTGTGAAAATAATGTATTATATTGCAGCTCCTAAAGGCAGTTTTGGTTTGCAGCCATAAGTAAGTGGAACCACCAATGTAAAACCTCTTTATAGGGGCATTGCATTAGGAGTACACTTTAAATAAGATGCCGATACTACATCTCAATGATGAAAGTTCCTTCGACAGTAAGCTCATAACGGAGAGATCTGACACTGACTAGCACACCTAACATCACAGTTTCCTTTTAGATAATGGTAGTTATTATTGATTAAAAGAATAAATGCACATATAAGCATGCTCATAAGCTAATGTGCCAGAGTATAAGTAAAAACGCATGCAATTACTTCTGATATAGAACTTAGGTTTTTCATAAGGTAAAGGCACCTGTGGCTGATGATCTAAAAACCAAAAGAAAAACAAAAGAGATGCACATTATTACTAACCACAGCTTGTACGGTGCTCATAGGGCACAAATTGCAGTACATAGTGCCAAGTATCAAATAGTATACAATCAAAGATAACATCATACAACTTACGCAAACCTTGTTTGTTAGGTCCCGTATTTCTTTGTCAGCACATGGCACACTGTATTGACGATCTTGAAGGAACCATGTATCACAAATACGATCAGAAATCTGCATGCACTTTCTACTATGGCAGTTCCTTGAATGCAATGGTTCTCCTCGAAAAATGTCCCTTGTTCGTCTTCTCCATGGGAAGTTGTCTCCTGTATACTCGTCACTAAAGATGAAAAACTTCGTCATCTTATTTGCTTTCTAATGATAAAGAGAGGCTTAAATAAGTATCTAATAGATGATAATTGCAGGACTCTTGCCCTAAATCTGAAGTAAGAAACCATAATGAAATTTCAAGCCTAAAATGTCAGATAATTAAAATATCAGAAGAAGCAAAAACATCATTAGCTACCATTTTGATACACTATCTATTTTCGTCCCAAATATCAATATATATATATATATATATATATAATAAAAATAAAAAATAGAAAATAGAGTTCTTGAGGAGAAAGAACTCCTCAAGATCTTGAGGAGAAATAACATTGAACACAACCCGTGCATTTGATGGATGGTTGGATCTAGGCTTAGAGTAATTTGTTTAAACGCAAATTTTGTAGATGGCCTCATGAATGCCTATTCCCAAGTGAACTATATAGGGAAAAGATCTTGTCAGCCCATGGGCTGATGGAATAGTGTAAGCCCATCGGTCTAGATGGAATCTAGGCTGATCTGATTATCACGACTAATTTTCGTATTTAAATTTTAATCTTTTTTCTATAAATCCAAATCATATGAAATTTGGGGCCTCTACTCTTCTTATCAAGGCGCGCCTAATAAAAAATATTAAAAACATAATTCACAAAAAATAAATAGACCAAAATACTCCTGAAACTTTCAAGAGCATTTTGATCTATTTAATTTTTGTGAATTATTTTTTGATATTTTTATTAAATTCATTTATTTTTTAAGAATACACACTCTAAATTTCAAGTTATTTGTATTTGTAGAAAAATATCAAAATTCAAATACGAAATGCAATCGCAACTATTGGATCGACCCAGATTCAATTTGGGCCATTGGACGTTTACTGTAGCTGTCAGCTAGTGGGCAGACCTCAGACTCCCAATCTGAGAAAGAGAGAGAGAGAGTTCTTAAAGGCCAAATCTAACTTTCCCATCAAATGGATGGCCTATATTCATTGTTTTAAAAACACCATTTTATGGGTTCATTTCCAACTTTTTCCTCAGATTACTAGCTAGAATGAAGAGAATGTGTGGTGCTTTGGGGTCAAACAAATGCCCCTAAAATTTTAATAGGATTGCACTATAAATTAATGCCCTAGGGCAAACCACTACAGTATCCACCCCCAATATTTTTTACAGCACTAGGGGCATTGGGTCTGCCATCCAACCCATCCCCACCCCCCACAAAAATAATAATAATATTAAAGTTAAAATTAAAATTGCACACACATTCTCTTGAACCTGGCAAACAAGCGGATGAAAAAATAAAAGAAAAGGTGGTTTTTTTTTTTTAACACAATGAATACAGGGTGTAAATCTGATGAACTCAAGATCTTTTTTCTTTACTTGTTTATCTAGTGACACAAATGCCATCTACAAAGTTTGGGGTCAACTGGTCAAGGAAACACCCCTAAGGCTTAGATCTAACAGTCCATCAAACATTTTCTCTTCAAGAAAAACCATATTTTAGGGATTTTTTCAAAACTTTTTTCAGGAGCTTATTCGAGGGATGAATATAAATCATGTACAAAATCTGGGCAGAACGCACACCCACATGCACACAGGCACGAGCAGAAGCACACAAGCACACACATATATTTATATGCCCCATCAAGTAGAAGGCAGAGTAATTCTCGATCTATGGAATGGAGCTTCCATCAATCCAAAAATAACTCGAACAGAGGAAAACCATTCAATCAGTTTTTCTTGCCAAAAAGAGTTTATCTTAAAAGCAAGTCACTTACATGCAACCATTAGAAGAACAACAAGCCCTTTCTTCAGCTAAGCAATTTCCAGATTCTCCTTCATCAAATCTTTGGCTGCAATCACTGGATGCGAACCTCCGAAGCCTACTCACATCTCTCAGAGTTGGCAATGTGTCAAAACTAATTGGTTCTTGTAGGCTCGACATGTTGGAAATGGATGGCAAAAAGTTAACTCGAAAAACTGCACGTGACAAGCTTAGATTCCGCCACGCACACTTAGTTAAACCCTTCAGTACAAGCATCAGAGGCCAAAAGTCCTCTCAAGAAATCGAATCACACCATCAAACATTCATTGAGTATTTATTTCTCCAAACACATGATCATTGATCTTTTAGAAACCCTCATCTGCCTCCCATTCCAAATGGATCTGCGGAAGAACATGATTAGAATACGACTCGTATGTTTTGCTAGAGATTTGTCAAATAGTTTTAAAGAACAGCATATACAAGATGAGTATGCTGTAAAATAACAGAAGGGGCCATCCACCATTTGTTCTCGAGGCAGACAATTGAGATGAACCGTTGTACAGAGCCAAAGACGTTTAGTAGGTACAATGGCTCATCTCTACCTCCAACTTGAGAATAGATGATGGATGACCTGCTGGTGCATCGTAAAGCATATTAATCATGTGCATGCTATGCTGTTATAGTATCAATCATACAGAGAATTCAGATCAATGATTGCAAACACAGACAAGGGCAAGGAACCAGGCAAGACCCAAGGCTGACTTGGTCAAGTCTCCACAAGACTCGGCTGATTTTATTTAAATTAATACAATAACCTTGGGAACCAGTGAAACTTAACTCAGCTGGTTCCCAAGGTTTTTCAACAGGACCGCCAGGTTTGTGTAACACAGACAATCTGACTTGTTATAAAACAAATATCAAATAAAACTCCATTGAAGATAACTACACTTGTGCCTTCTTTTCCATATATTAATAGTGAGCTGACCTCATGAATCATGGACAGATTTCTCATGCCAACATAAGATAATCTCTATTATGCAGAAAGCTTTTAAGAAACAAAAATTGGGTACAATTATGATTGTGAATGCCAAATAACACACCAATAACTTGCTTTTTCTGCATTATACAACAGGATTTTTCCATAAAAGATTAACAAAACCACAATGTTATGAAGTTCATTGATAAAGACTCCACTTTTTTTTTTTTCTTTTTGTACAAACGATGGAATTTGAACCCAGCCAAGGTTTTGTGATACAAAGGGCTAGATACCACCAGGCATTAGGCTCAAAGGAATTTCCATAAAGTATTTGGATCACCATTCATAACTTTTTGAGATGTATGCAATTTATGTTTAAGTTACATTTACCTTTTTCTTTCTGGTGAGGTTTGTTTAAGGTACACTCCTTATACTATAGAAATTAGGCACACCTCTACATTTTGCTAGAAGAAGTAGTTCCAATGTCAGAAATTTCATGATGGCTTTTCATCCCTTATTATGAAATTGGAAATTTCAAAAATGCCACAATTGAGCAAATTTACAAACACTTAGAAAATCTTGAAAAATAGATGGTCCAGATAACTTGTTACAAGATGCAATAATTTTTAATACTCGTTTGTTTGTTTCATAACCATACATCCAAGGTCGAGATGATCAATTGGTGGGTTTTCCAACATCGGAACACTCTCTTCGAGAGAGTTTTTGAAATGCACTTTGCTTCAATAGTATAAGATTGACATCTTATATAAACTTTTTTCCTACTTTTTATTAGGATACATTTAGTCACAGTGTGACAGTCACACAATAATGATAATCAAGGAAACTGAAAAATAGAACTTCGGACCACTATCAGCGGATTTTAAAGTTCAAAAGGTCGGGTGAGACAATGGGTGTCCCAATTTGGACACTGATAGACCGATCATGTGGGAAGAACTCAACCGGGTTGCCAATCTACCCCAACCTATCTGGTGTATAGGGGGGGACTTCAATGTAACCAGGTGATCACATGAGAGAAATACCTCTACCAAAATCACTCCGACAATGACAGCTTTCTCAGACTTCATTGCCTTGAACAACCTGGTCTACCTACCTTGTCAGGGATCTCAGTACACTTGGTCTAACCACTCTTCCAACCCAACCCTCTCTAAGCTTGACCGATTCCTCATCTCCGTGGATTGGGATTCCACTTTTCTTGAGACGCACTCTCTAGCTCTCCCAAAATCCACTTCAGACCACTGTCCCATTCTGCTAGACTCCAACGTGGCCGAGACTAGACCTAAACCCTTTAGGTTCGAGTTAACATGGCTAGAAGAACCTTCCCTCCTTAACCTTTTCCCAGAATGGTGGAGGTCTCTTTCCGACATGGTACAGGGCTAGGAAGGATTCAAACTTAAACGTAAGTTGCAGTTATTGAAGGCTCACTTAAAATCCTGGAGCAGAGGCCTTCAGGGGTTCTTAGGGCCACAAAAAAATTCTACATTAATAGCCATAAAGACCCTTGACTCGATAGAAGTGTCCCAACCTTTTTTGGGCCCAAAATTATCTCACATAGACGAGTTAAAGCAACAATATCAAGCCATCCTCAAGAAAGAGGAAATCTTCTTGTACCAAAGGTCCAGAATCAAGGGGCTAAAGGCCAAAGATCTCAACACTAGTTTTTTCCACAAGACGGCCAATTGCGGGCGCAGAGACAACACCATCACACACATATTGGTAGGCGATAATCTCCTGGACAACCTCCAGAAATAGAGCAAGCTATCCTTGGTTATTTTCAGAACCTATTTTCTGCCCCTCCTGCCTCTCGACCCCCTATGGAGGACTTAAAGCTCCTCATTCTACCTCCTGATAAAGCAATCTGGCCAAAAAGACCCTTCTCAGAACCAGAAATTTTAGCAACCATTTCAAACCTAGACTCTGACAGGGCCCCTGGGCTCGATGGATACCCCATTGCACCCTTCAAACTCTTTCGGGAATCTTTTAGAGAAGACTTTCTGAAATTGTTAGACGATTTTTTCTCTAGAGCTATTATCAACAAGGCCCCTGAATGCCACTTTCATCACTCTTATTCCCAAGATTGAAGGGGCTACCCAACTAAAAGACTACCGTCCTATCAGCTTGGTGAACTCTACCTATAAGATCCTAGCCAAAGTCCTCGCCTCTCGCCTCAAAGAGGTTCTCCCTGTAGTCATCTCCACCCCTCAAAGTGCCTTCATTAAAGACTGTCAAATTCTTGATGGGGCCCTCATCGCCCATGAGTTAATCCATTCCAAAAATTTGGCCAACGTCCCTGGCATTGTGGTTAAGTTGAACTGGGAGAACGCTTACGATCATGTAGACTGAGACATCCTTGAAGAAACTCAGGCTAGGATGGGTTTCGGGACCAAATGGAGAGCATGGATGAAAGAGTACTACTCGCACCCACATTTCTCCATCCTCATTAATGGCAGCCCCAAAGATACCTCCCTTCCACAAGGGACCCCTATCTCCCTTCCTTTTCGCCATCGCAGCAGAAGGCCTATTTCCAGAATGTATGCAGTTGGATCAATGTCTTAAAATGCGGCCGTATCATGCGGGCTGCGCTCGCATCCGCATCCCGTTCAGGGTCATATGCGCTTTTGACAGATGCGGCCACATATCCGCCGCATCATGGCTGCATCCCGCATCATGGCCGCATCTCGCCCGCATCTGTTTCCACGAAAAAACTTTTCGATTTTTCCCCTCGGGGAGGGGCAAAATGGTCTTTTTTTTGTTCCAATGTTTTGGGAAACTGTTTGGGGGGTTACTATACCCCCTAATCGAAGATTTCCAGCCACGTTTGTGGCTTTTTTTTAATCAAATCGAAGGAAAAAAAAAATTGGCGAAAATTTTTTTTTCATCCAAATCTTCAATTCGGCGGTTGTTTGATACTTGGATGTTCCTTTGATGCCTTTTATTGTTGATTTGGGGATGTTAAGGTGAATTTGTGATAAGAAATTGGGGATTTCAAAGGCCATGAAGAAATCGAGCACTACTTCACATAGTCGGTAACTTTTTATTCCTTCTTGTACAATAATACTGTTATACTTATTTTTGGGGCAATGTCTTCTTCCAAATCTTCTAGTAACAAGGATCCGGCTTAAAAATATGCTAAACTAAAAAATCCGAAAGATAGAAATTGTGTGATATGCTTTCTCTGTGGAAATACTTATATGGGTGGTATTTTTCGACAAAAAAAGCATTTAGCCGGAATTTTTGGAAATGTAAGAGCATGCCCACAAGCTACAGATAATATAAAAAAGGAGATTAGAGAATATTTGGATCGATTGAAAAAAGATAAAGAGAAAAAAAAAGGAATTACTTGATGATATGCAATTATTTGATGATGTTGTTGATGATGATGATGATATGTCTGAAGTTGCTATGAGGCAAAGGGGTACTCATACTCCAACCTTAAGAGAGAGGGTTATAAATATTGGTGATAGTGCTAAGAGAAGAACACCTCTCTCTAAGGGCCCAATGGATTCTTTTTTCACCCCTAGCCCTGAAATTGTGGTTCAGGAGAGAAAGAAAAAAACAAAACAAACCACAATTGACAATAAATATAGGAAAGAACAAAGGAAATCGGTATGTAAGTGGATTGCAAAGTGGATTTACATGGCCGGCATTCCTTTTAATACTATAACTCTGGATAGTTTTGCTATATGGTCTAGGCAATTGGGCAATATGGCCCAGGACTTATTCCTCCTTCACTACATGAGGTTAGGGAGCCCTTGTTGAAGGATGTTGTATTTGATGTGAATAAAATTTTGATTTCTCAAAGAGAAGGGTGGGAGAAATATGGGGCCACTATTATGTGTGATGGTTGGTCCGAAGGGAAATCAAGGGCATTCATTAATTTTTTGGTTAACTTCCCAACAGGTACTTTTTTTGTTAAGTCTATTGATGCATCAGATAAGTCACATGATGGTATATACTTATCTGGCTTGATGGATGAAATTGTCGATTTTGTTGGGGAGCAAAATGTGGTACAAATTATCACTGACAATGGTGTCACTATGCTGCAGCTGGGCATTTCTTGACTTTGAAAAGGAAGCATATGTTTTGAACACCTTGTGCAGCTCACTATGTTAATCTCATGCTTAAGGAAATGGGTACACATCTTTAATTATGGGGTAATTTCAAGAGCTATGTTTGTTGTTGGATTTATTTACAATCACACCATAGTCCTAAGAATGATGAGGTCTTTTACAAAGAAGAGAGAATTAGTGAGACCGGGTATCACTAGATTTGTCACGTCATTTCTCACTCTTCGAAGCCTAGCCAAGCAAAAAAGTGCCTTAAGGACCATGTTTGCTTCAGAGCAATGGAATCAAAGCATAAGGATGGGAGAAAGGCTAAAAATATTATTTTGAATACATCTTTTTG